CTCATTTTAACTTTCACAAATATACTAAGTTACAGTGTAATAAAAATTTTATTGCATACCTTTTGGCGTTGGCGTTGACTGAAATTAAATTTCGCTCACGTTTCTTAGTTTGTTTGCACTTTATTACATTGTTATGTTTAATAGACATCTTTGATGCGTGTTAGCAAGTTTGCTAGACGTCTGCCAATTTTGTGTATGCCTGAAAGTATGCAAATATAAAGCTGCTATTTTATTTACGAAAGCTATCATATTGTATCATTACGCGACACAATTTGTGAAGGCGTGCATATGTGTAACTAGCACGAAATCGCCTTAAGCACCCACGCTTAAAAAGGTTTCATCTTCATATAAAAACAGTGCGGCAGAATGTATGCTTCATTGCTTAAGTTTAGTTTTCGTGCTATAAACTTATATGGCGAGTTGACTTATATTTTAGTAGTAAAATAAAGTATCTGTTTTATTTATGCAACAAGATTAAGTTTTTGTTGTTGTTCTAGAATTAAGTAAAGAGTCAGTTCGTTACAGCTAAATTTAGTCTCGTTGCAGTTAATTTTGAATTAGGCTTAATTATCGTCATAAATTTTGAATTTTTCTTGTATAGCTAACAAAATTTGGTCGTTAATGGGAAAATATATTTTTAACTTAACAATTTAATGAAGCCTAAGAGTATTTTAAATACATTTTTCTTTTAAATATTGTACACGAAAGTTTATTTTATTTCATTAATTTGATATTTTGCTATATCTAGTATATTTGTGCTAAACAAACCAAACCTTAACATATGTACATGACTCAGCGATTATGCACCAAAAAGTATACAACGCGAAATAGTATGCCACGCAATAATAATTCATGAAAGTATCTTTCAGATTTGAAATAACTCAATTAAAACTTTTAGTTTGCATCCGCCGAAATATAACTTTCAATGTGTACGCCTTAAAGTATGCAATTAAGAGTTTAGTAATTTATGAAGCAAATAATCACAAGCAAATACTAAATTTTCGCGCAGATTTCCGATTTAATTAACTAAAATCGGAGCATATTTTCATACAAAATATATTTAAATTTCTTTTATGTATACATAATAAATGCCCGAAAGTATGCTACATTAGTTACGCTAATATTGCCATTAATCCTTTTGCTATATGCAAAGTATCCTCTCTTTGCGCCACAACAGGATACTGCAAAAAGTTGCAAATCAAAAACGTAAATATTTTTATCTTTGCTAGCAATTTTGTTCAAGTTACCGTTATATACCGACAAAAATAGAACAAACTTTCGTTAAAATATGCGCTTGCATGCAGAAAGTATAGCTAGATTTGTTTTAGAAACTTTATCTTAATATTTATCACTGCTTTATAGCCTACTCGAAGCTGCAGCGCCTAAAAATATGTCACTTATAATTTGAATTTCGAAAAATGTTAAAAGTTTTCTACGCAAGAGAAAGTAGTTTAACACCACTGCAAATATACACGTACTCCTACTGCAATAATGCTAGTTTCTCTAAATGATTACGCCAAAAAGTATGCAGCGAAATTTGTAATAAGCGCATAAAAACGGCCAACAAATTCAAAATTACAAATTTTCCGTTTCGAATATTTGCAGATCTTCTAGTTAACCACTAACTGTGCCACGCACTGAAACACCCAAATGCATGCAGCACAATTTATTTAACGCTAAATACCCTAAATATTGGCGGTGGTTACCGACAATGCAAGCTTTGTGGCAAAGCCAAAACGCGAAATCTCATTTAGAGAGCACGAAACTTTTGATTATGCTTATGTGTGTGTGTGTTACAAAAACCAACAAGCCCGACAGTATAGTACGCGCAAATAACTTTTTCCATCATGCCATTGAAAAACTGGGTAAAATTTAATTTTCCACGTGCTTTTGTGTGAATGAGACGATGGTGGCGCGGTAGAGTGTACACGGCAAACCGTTAGAAGTGAATATTTGTTTGTTTGTTTCTGTGAGGAAAGTCGTCGCAAAATATGCTGCTTATTGAAAAGTTTGCTCTAAACACTGAGCGGTACGAAGAGGAATGTAAGTGAAAATGAAACGTTGAGCTGGGTCAAAGCAGCAATACCAGGGTGGAGAGTGAAAAAAGTTAGTCCGCGTTTGTAGAAAATAAGAGTCACATTTCAGCGGCTAAAAGGGGTGCAAACGAAAAGGAAAGAAATGAAAATTAGTAAGTCGAGTACTTCAGGCACGGCATGAGGCGCAGGCAAGCTGAAATTAAACTGGCGGCGGGGTGCTCAAACAAAATGCTGTTGCAGTAAAGCAAAGCGCTGACAAACTTTGTTCAACAAGTGGGGCGGCAAATGCGTTTGTATGAGCGCAGACGGAAAAGTTTTTGAATTTTATTTGTTTCTTATTTAATGCCGCAATTTTCGCGGCCACGTTAAAGTAACGCAAACTCTGTGGCACCTATTTTTTTCAACATTTTCTGGCAGTGACAGCATTGTACTAATGTTGCCACTACAGGTGAACGGCAGCAGCTATTGTATAGCATACCGTCAGGGGCAATAAAGTTGTTAGCTAAAACAAAAATAAGTTGCGCATTGCATTTGTCGCGAGTCTGTGGCAACTTATGCTATGAAATACAGCTACAATAATGAGCTGAACAGTGCAACACACAGCACTTCCAACATGACAGCCAAAAGACCGCCTTAAACTGGCGGCAAACAATTGTAGCACCAAACATTTTCACAAACAAAACAACAATTACAACAGCATAGGTAATCAATTACAATTTGCAGCCACCAAACACCCGTTACACGCACCAGCTGTGTGTGCATGGCCAGCGAGCAGCCAATAGCTATTGCCAAGCCAGTCATAGCCGCCGCCGCACGCATAAACAATGCAAATAACTTAATTACATAGTGATTGAAATTTGCAAGCTGCCGCCACAGCGGGTGTTATGCTAGCAACCTGATGAAACCACAAATTTGTGAGCGCCAGCCCTTGTGCGCCACCAAATGCCCATTCATCTTTTCGTTGCGCTGCTGACGTCATGAAATTTATGAACCACAACCGAGTCGTGTCAACACCAGCATACCGCAAAGGCAGACTTTAATTCAGTTAGCCCTTTATATTGGTGACCTACCGCATACCTAAATATATATATCCCTTAGCTCTCTGTGGTTCAACATAGTCGATTGCGCCCGCAGCTAAATTAATTAAAGGCTACCTCTATACTAAAACCAATAGAAAAATTTTAGAATCATATGAGTGTTAATTGTACGCGCCTGTATGTGCTAATACAGATTTAATGCCGTCGCGTTTCAATGACATATACAAAAATACCGCAATTTTAATAATAAATTATGGGTATTATTATAATAGAATAGGTGTGATTATATGCACCTACAGGGACGCAGGCAGCATATTCGCTTAAATGCTGTTGTATTATGGAACTAACGCGCAATAACTGACCTTGACGCTGGCAATTTAAGCGATTTTTGCGTAGATAATCGATTAGGGTAAATATTGAAAGCAAAATACTACATACTTTTAGGTGTGCGTGCATATATTTTTGCGCTCAGTATATAGAAGTTACAAAACTACAATCATTTTCAGCAGTAGAAAAATGTGTTATGAGATTTTAAGTAAATTCAATCGAAAAATTTTAGATTACTTTTGGGCGCAAATTATTAAAAAACATCATACTAGTAATTAATCGTGCAAAAATCAATTATTTTATGCAAGAGTTATGAAAAACTATTATTCGAAAAATTTTATGCGACGTTAAGAAAAATTAATCAAAAATTTTTAGGATACTTTTAGACGCAAATGACTAAAAAACATTACATAAGTAGTTGCAACGAAAAATTCTCTTATAATATGCTCAATGCAGTGGCATAGCATTGCAGATATTGTTTCAGAATCTATTCACTCTTATGAACTACAAGAAATCGTTAGCATAACTTTTGGCGCAACGTTAATCTAAACAAATGTATACGAAATTAATTTTTACAAGCATAAGTAATCTAAATATCTACTAAAATTAACGTTATACTAACAATGTTAAACAATATGTATAAGCAATAAATGTAATATTGCATACCTTTAGGCGCTTTAATAAGAATACAGTAAATGTGACAAATTCTAATAAATTGTTTCTAAGTACAATTATTTCATATCATATATAACACAATCGTTTATAAATACATCTACACATGAAAATTGTTGCATAGTTTTAGGCGCTTAGTCAATTCGTATTTGTTATTAATATAATTAAAGTAATAAAGCCAATTCGCATAGCATAATATCAGGTATTATACAGTGTCGATATACTTACGTTTATATATAAATTTGCACGTTTCATAGCATACTTCAAGGCGAAGCAAAAAAATTTAAAACAATATACAATAATTAATAAGTAATTAAATGAGCTATATTGGAAATTTGACAAAATGTTAAATTTTAAATTTTGTAGAATGAGATTTAAAAATTTAACATACTTTTAGGTTGTGAAATAACTTTATTTTAGTAGATGTTATTTTACAATTGCCTAGTGTTCTCAAGTAAAAATGTGCAATTTGTGAACTAATATTTATTTACAAGTTAAAGAATTGTGAGTTGTGAATATCATAGAATCTTGTTTTATAGTAAAAGCGTAAATGTATGCTAACAAAGTTTTCTAATAAGTTAAAACAACCACGTTTTCCTGCTAAATATGTACGGTACGCTTGTGCTCATACATTTGATTGAAATATCACGACTGATAGTAATATACTTAACATAAGTTATTATATATACAACGAACCACAATTACAAAAAAAAATTTTAAATATGACTTTTTCCAAAAACTTTATGAAGAAGTTATCACATTTTTATATTTCAAAAATATTTTTCAATATTTAATCGAAAAGTTTATAAAAAAAAATTATTTAATTATTATTGAAAAAATTATTCATAAAAAAAATTTTAATATAAGCATATTTCATAAATAATATTATATAAATCTCCAACTTCTTCTTTTTCATCTAATTAAATAGGTAATATCACTCGAAGGCTGGACGGATATTATGTATTACGTACAAGATGCTGACAGCTTTTGGGATTGGATCTATTTCGTACTTTTGATTGTGGTAAGTGTGCAAAACGAAGGTAGAAAATTTTGAGAAAAATTGAACTTTAGAAATGTAATTTCGGTTTGAATAGTATACCTTTAGGCGTTAATGCTAATAACGTATAAATATGTTTGAGACACACGTAACCAACTAATTTCAAGAAATTTTGTGTGAAAATCTAGCAAAGCATATCGGTATATTATAGATTTTATACGTACAATGTATAGATACATGGATTGTAGGTATTTTGAGAACCAAATTGTCAATCCTGTTACTATTATTTTTGCAGTAATCTGTTACCAATAGGCACATTAGCTACCAAATGATCCTGAAAGTACTTTTATAATATTAGGCTATATAGTATCTAAGCATATCTATTAATCCTAAATAGTGTCATCTAAACATATCTATGAATACTTCCAAGTCTTTGAACACATTTATCCAACTCAAACTCCGGGAAAAGCTTTAATACGCAGATTACTTTCAGAAAAATTAAAATTAATCGCTTAAGCTCACTTAATTTAATTCAGTGCTTCATAATATTACCATTTAGTTGATTGCTCACTGCAAACATTTAATGCAACGCTGCTGTTATAATTGTACCACTACTATTTCAGTTGAATTAAAAGCTTTGCTCAGCCTCCTCAAACCATTCCATTTCAATTTAACCAAATGCTTCTAAATGAGACCACAAAAGCGTGAATTTATTTTATTTATTTCCGAGCATTTTTCTACTTCTTTATGTGACCTTTTTTAGGCTGAGGTAGTGTATGTGCGTGAATGTATACCCCAGAGCGTATAAAATTGCCATAAAAAGTAGGGAGAAAGAAAGGTAACCATAGTAAAAAAAAAACAATTTACGCATACCTCAGCTGAGGGACTACAAGTGGTCCCACAGCGCTTTCGACGCGCACCGAGCAAGGTCAGATAGGCTGCCAGCACATACGTTTGCGGGATTTATACCCAATTTAGTTTTTTTTTCTACTGCTATTTACATGTACATATGTGTGTGTACAGCTTATTTGATATTCACTTTGCTTTGAGTTTCAGGGTTTTGTTTTAGGTATGCAAAACCCAAAAGATCTGAGTACAGTAAATGTGTAGTCACATAAAAGCTCACAGCAAAGGTATTAGTGAACTAGTAGACTTCAACCTCTATTTTAGTGACAAAATCCTGAAGAAGCAAAGGGGAATACAACAACAATACAAACATGGAAATATTTTCTTTCAAAAGTGCCTGCATCTACCTTCTTTTGTGGTTAACTGTCTGTGACGCGCCTCAAGTATCATCAAAACTACCAAAGTTTAACTTTAAAGCGCCTAAAAATATACACCTACGTATCTTTAAGCAACAAAGCAGAAGCATATCATATCCTAAAATTTGAGTAGGCAAGTTTTTAAACGTCCCGCAGTCGCACAGTCTAGTCAACACGTGTCTGTGCGGTCGCAAACAAACAGCGCCTAAATATATGCTAAGTTAAATATTATGCATTAAGGGATTTACGCGTTTGTAACAAAAAACAAAAATAGAAAAGGACCAAAAACCAACAAATGAAGCGTAAAAATTAAACATTTCATATGAATGGAAATTGAGCGATCACAAAAAAAAGAGACGGGTAAAAAGCTATTGAGCACACTTATTGTTTGCAGGTGTAGCTAAGGCAGCTGCCGCCAACGAATGATTAAATAACTGTTTTGTTATAGCGTTGACTCGTCTGGTTGGATGATTTTTCGTGCCGGAAATTTTGTAGCATACTTTTGGGAAATTCAGCATCAAACACATACCTTTTCCCGCTCTCATTGGCAAAGCTGTCGTCGACTGGTTGATATCGTTGCCGCACATAAATTTATTTATACCTATTCAATATTTCCGTTTACCATAGCTTTGAATTGATTTTTAACATTTTGCTTGCCTACACTTCAGCGCACCGCAAATAGCATTTAATTTAGCTTATGCGTTGCATACCGTTCGGTGCTTTTTGCTTAGTCGGCAGCAGTATTTGGTTGTATATGTGTACAGGAAATGTGCAGGAAAAGAGAAATTGTCTACGTCAGCAGCAAACAGCGAAATTTATCAGCCAATTAAGGTGTGCAATCGTTTATTTGTTACGCCTGAAAGTATGTTCGAATAACATTTTTTGACTGGCACATGTAGGAAAGTCATAGAATTTTTGAGGATGAATGAAAATAAGAAAATGTATAACATATACCAGTAAATACGTCGAGTTTTGTGGTATTAATACGCCTAAAAATATGCTAAATTAAATACTAAATGCTCGTAATGTGTGAGAAAAAACTTATTAAATTTTATTTTTTTTTAACAGAATTTGGGCCAATTAAATCTATTCAATTAAATATATTTGCCAAACACACACGCACATAGGAACTCCTAAAAGTATGTTATATACCTACACTAAGCTTTAGTAAATGAATGCTCATTTTCCTTTCCGTATAACAGTCCTCTTTGTATAACAACATTATGTCTCAAAAGCATAAACTACAACATTGGTATAGTTTCATCTAAATAGGCATACTTTTAGGCTTTGAACGTATATTTCTCTTTGATATGTACAATATAACAACTGCTGTGCTTTACAAATAAACAAGCGCCTATGCATGTGTTATGTAGAGCATTCATGTGTTAAAATACCAGCCTGTAAGTATGCATTATATATGTGACAACTATTTACGCACTTACGGTAAATTAACTAGTGATTTATGTGCTACACTTTTTACTTTGTGTGTATTTGGAAATATATTTTGAAAATGTAAGAACGGCATACTCTTGTTAGACTGTTTTAACGGCTAATTAAATTGAAGCTTGTTTACAAATGTGTGACATATGTAGCATACATTTTGGGGCTATTTATTTTTTTATAGATATGTAAAAATACTTGAAAATTTTAGCACGAGCTCCATAAATTTAGGTGTGTGCATTTCAAAAGTTTATTATGGTTATTATTATATGGATATAAATGCAGGTAGACATCAAAACACGTTAAACGTCCCAAAAATATGTAATGAAAACCATGAAAATTTTTTAGGAAGTTACTTTTAACTTAAGATTGTGTATCTTTACTTCTGAAATCCCGCAATAAAATACTCATTAATTACTCATTGCATTTGTTTGGGAATGTCTAAAGATATATTCCTACAACTCTTGATTTAAAGATACTCTAAACCATTTTTGAAATATATTCCAAGCTCTTTTTTTGAGGATATATAATTACCAAAAATTTGCAAACTGGGCACGCCACAAGCGAAAACCTTTTTTGGCAGTTCACAACTATATACAACTTTATGTAAAATATATATGTATATACATCGTACACGAACCCACATGTAGCCAGGTAACATCAGACATTTTTCAAGTACACGAAAACAAGTACTTGTTTAGGGATAACAAATTCAATTTGGTTGTTGCCACAGGAAACGAGTGTCGAAAACCCGAAAAAGAGCAACAACGAAATTGGCAAAAGGACTTGCAAACAAAAGTGTCAGCATACTTAAACATAAAGGATATAAATGGTAGCAAATTGAAGATAGTCAAAACTATTGACTAAGTTGTAGAAAATAAGACAATGGACTAACTAAATATGTGGAAATTATATACGAGATATACTTGAACGTCATTGAAACGTTCTATCTGATGAAAATCTTCATTATTAGTTTATTTTACACATATGACATTTGTTTGAAATTCTCGTCATATTAATAAAAAATAATAATATATATAGATTAGTGACTTTTCCAAAACTGCCTGTGGTATATTTTGAGCTTGCAGGCTCTTAGAAAACGGCAGGTTACAAAAATATACTTTCTTCAAATCTTCCAAGTTATATATTGACAGATGTATTTAAATCCATTTTTATATGATAACTGAAGTTTGAGACGTATTCGTTAATTATTCCTTCGGAAAGAAACTATATTTAAAAGGCCCAGCGAGCGTTCATTTATGGCATAAGATCTCTTCTGCCCATAAAAGCAAGTAACCTTCAAATGTTCAGTGCCACGGTGACTTTTATTCATTTAAAGAGAAAACATTGATACATAAGCATCTTGAAGACTCTACAGCTATTCTGCTTCCCTCGCTCTGTCTATGACTCTTGCTCCAGCTCCGGCTCTCCACTTTCTGTCTTGCATTTATTTTTAATATAGTGGCATAAAACCTTCCTCAAAAAGGTTTGGTGAATTGAATCCATTTCGTCAACATACGAATAAATATGACAATATTAGGTGTATATCACTTGTATGGGCGGAAGATACCCTCTCACTACCTGTCCTTTCAGCCTTTGAGTTTGCCGAATCCTCTTCTTTATATTTCCCTTTATTTCCCTTTTTTCCCTTCCAGTCCACTCTCCTCTATCCACGTTTTTTTTTCATCTTCTCTCTCTATATACATGTATATAGTTATATATCTATCTCTCTCATTATTTCCCTTCTTATGTTCTTTATTTCCCTTTCACAGATTTCTGTTTCTCAGCTGTTTTGATTATCTTTTAAATTTTCATTCTCTGTTTTTTTCTGCTTTTTCTCTTTATCCGCTCAGACCTTTTGCCTTCTCTACAATTATAACATTCTAAAAGTTCTTTTAAAACCGCACAAAATTGTATGAAGCGTAAAAGAGAAATTGAAAAAATTTCCACATAATTTCCACTACTTTGGGCACACTGTGCAATTATGCAAAATAAGAATATCAACGCACCCGTAACCACACGTGTGCCAACAAGCCGAGCTTGTGGTTAGGATTTGTAAGGCTACACATAAGCGAATTAAAAAAAAGTATACATTGTATATGTGACTGCGTGTGACAAGTCAAGTTTTTACGCATTCCGACTTTTTTTCCAACAAACTCGAGCTGCTGTCTTGTTGCAGCTGTCTGGCATGGCCTCAAACTGTCATAACCTAGCCAAGTTGCCACTCATTCATACCAAGAGAACGGGCGCAGCGAAAAAAGTCCAATACAACGTTTTACCGTTATTTGTATTCTAACCAGGGGAATGGCTGTGACTGCGCCT